AAGGCTATCACTAAGGATTTTCCAATATTAAAACTACATTTCTCGGCACTATTTGAAGGTAGGCTCTAATTTATTTGTTTAGAGCCTAAGCTCTATGCAAACCGCATCCCATTTATGAACTATTCCTGAAAATGATTTCAATCTTGATTTTTTAGTTATATATAATTTCTAACATGGAGATCATTAAGGCAATGTCAACATATATGGATTTTTCAACTTAGCAAGGCAAATTTATCATTGGATATTAGTCCGTTAAGGCGGAAACAAAATGAGGGGAAAATAATTGCACAATGGATTTAAAATTGGGCATATAAATAAAACTTGGATAACTATGGAAAAGAGTTATTGGCCGTTGAAACGTTGGATGCTTATTTGTAGCTCCACACCCCTTCCTAGGCATTTAATCAAGGGAAAAGTTTATATAGAGTTGAGGCTTTAAAAGATCAAATTTGAACGAACCTCAAAAATTTTACTAAAAGAGGTTGTTTTGATGCCCAAATATCCTCAAATTGATCATCTCAACATCAAGATGTATGAACATTAGAAAAAAATGAATTTCAAGTTTGGGAAATAGTGTATTTTGTAACGCATTTTTTGTCCATCAATTTTCAAGATTATCAAGTTTTCATAAATATGTCGATCTACACTATTTTTGAAGCTTTAAACTTTATAAACAAAGTTGAAAATATATTTTAAAGCTATCATAAATACTTTCAGTATTGAAACCACATTTCTTGACACTATTTGAAGGTAGACTCTAATTTGATTGATTAAAGCCTAGGCTCTATACAAACTGCACCCTTAAACCAATTAGTCAAATCTTATCGTTGCAAGCATATCTTGACTTCTTAATGATATACCATCGCTCAATGCACCCAGGCGCCGGGTATTGATGAAAGAGAAAACGTGGTTCTCCAAGATTTGCCATACAAGTTGGTTCTTTTCCCTTTGAACCGTATGACTGGCAGATGGCCCTAAATGTATTTAGGCTCCAAACAGTGAAGGGAAGGGAATGCCCTGACCCGGCCAAATTCATGCCAATGAGGCCCGAACCCAGTTTTGCCTAAACAACCCATGGTGACCCAGCTAGGCCATTATAAATATGACAAAGGTATTTAACATATATGTTTGACAATAGGCTCATCGCAGCAGCCCAGCCAGCTCGGCGCTAAAATAATAGGGTATGTGTCACAAAATGTAGCCAAAGGGCTGGGCCACCACATGTATAGGGTTGGGCCAGCCCGATTCATCATCATCATCATTTTAACATTTTTCCAATTAACTGAGGTCGGTTGAGTTTTGGTAAAAAATTTACCTCGGCTACCTACTTAACACAACCATGCCCTTTTACCCGAGCATGGGATGGGGTTAAGAAAAAGTTTAAGGTCATCACCCTTCTTAGACCATGGGTTGGCCCGATTCTATTTCTATATTTGTTTTGTTTACTCTTTTTCATTTTTTATTAGGCTTAGCCTAGTCAAGATCGAACAGGGCTAGGTCCGCTTCGGCCTAATAACCCGGCCAAACTCGGGCTAGGGCTGCCCCAACCCAACCCCTGAGCTCTAGAACTAATATATATCCTTAAAATAGAATTCAGTTTGGGCTTGGAGCGGGTAAGTGTTGTCATGGACCAGACCGGAAATTTTCTAGGCCTTACCCCCAGCCCAAAAGCCAGTAACCCTAAATGCACCACCAATTACTGCCGCATAATCTGTTTATTCCTTAGAATAAAAGCTTATATAAGATTGCAACCTTAAAATGTAGAATCAAATATGCACTTAAAAAATCTATTGGAAAATGTTGTTTTAATTTTGAAAAACTCTTTAATTGATTATCTCGACATCGATATTATGAATATAGAAAAAGAAAAATATTTTGAATTCCATAAATAATGCATCTTGCAAAACATTATGTAGATCATTTTCAAGATTTTCATATGTTTATAAATGTACTTGATTTTAACCATTTATGGAGTTCAAAATTTTATAATTTGATATTAAAACAGATTTTCAGATAATCCTAATAATGTTTTACGCCAAAATTACATGTTATGATAAATTTTTGAGGTGTGCCGTTATTTAATTGTTTAAGGTTGCAACCTTTTAGAAACTACACCTTTCTTAGAATTTGGCAATGAACCTGGCTCGAAAAATTGGGGCAGATGCATGCCCTCAAAATCCTCAACAAAGACAAAAAGTTGGTCTCCATCCTTAGGGTCTGTTTGATAACAATTGAATATTTTTATATTCCAAGTTACTAAATTTTAAAAGTTCGTACACATGTTTGGTAGACTCGTATATCCAAATAAACCCGTACATCTGAATCCCCAAAAATTTTAACTATTCGGGGAAACTAAAAGAAGGCCATTGTTGCGCCGCTGAAGACTTTGCTAGTGTGAAGAGTTTTGGGTTTCTCTGAAAAGACTCAGTGTACATTGATCGTATGAATGTACAGATTTGTCTTTTATAGACAAAATACAAATGACAATAACAAAAACTAAATCATAGATACCTAAACTATTAATAAAGTACATACATTCTATCAGCTGTTTCCATAATACTGATTGCAGTATATACTTTTTATATTAACTCGATACAAAATATACACTTTCTTTTCACAGTCGGGGGTTTGAAACAAGCAATTATGTAAGAATTAGTTTGTCAATGTAGATTTTGAAGTCAATGTATTGATTTACTAAAAAATATTATCTCTATCAGCATCCTCTAATGCGTATTTATTTTATAAGGCTTCTATAGGTTAGGGCAGTCATAAGGTACAAGTCAAACAGATGATCACTAAATGCATTGAAGATATAGCAATAATTTCATGCAATCGTTGTATAGTAATATGATGCGACAACTTTAAAAAGCCACCTTATGGCTATTTGTTTGATTCAAATTTTATAATATACATTCTTTTTATTATAATGAACAATTACAGAAAAGAAAAATTTTAAAACACAACCTATAATGTATTTTTTAACCCAATAAACATAGGCTATTTATTTTGGTGAGATGCTTAGATCTAGGCTTTAGAATAATTTTTTTCTTTTCCAGTTTATTTGAATGACTTCATTATCACTAGATGAATAATGTTAAAAAAAAAAAAAGATTTTGAGTTTATAAATACTAAGATCTTGAAATTTACAAAATGAAGAGTCTATATTCATTTTTTGAGGGGACTCATTTTGACCATATCTAAGGTTCAAATTGAACTTTTTTATTTTTTTGAGATTGATTATTGAGATGAAGAGTGTGTGTATAAACTTTGGGGTCATACAAATACCACAAACAGGGTTTTCTAGAAGTGTCGTTGCATTTTCTTTATATTTATAATCATCTTCATCCCATTGAAGTCGAGTTGTTTTTGGTCGAAGAGGAAAATTTAGCATGTAATTAAGGTTGAGATGTCAAGGGGTCCGTATTAGAGTCTACTGAGGCATCCATGATCATTGATAGTTGAAGGAACATGACACGCCATTATAGGCACAGCCACTAAAACACAACTTTCGATTTTGTCATTTGATGTTTGCACCATCAAAAGCGGTTCTGCATCGGATGTGCTTCTCTATTGAAAGTGAAGGGAGTAGTAAGAAAGCCAGGATGCTATCCTGCAAAACTTGCAACAAGAAGTATCACAAGAACTGCTTGAAATTATGGGCAAATCACAAGAACTTCTGCTTGAAATTATGGGCAAATCACAAGAACTTCTTTTTATGTCCCAAAAAGAAATTGTTACTAGTACCATCAATAGAACCGGAGGAGCTACTACTAATTTATTGAAGGAGGGTTGGATTATTCTCTCAAAACAGAGCTTCTTTTGTGAGAGACTAATCATTATTCTTTCCAAAGTTCTCAGTAGTTCAAGATAGTCGGACATGTACAGAAAAACACATATGAAGTTTAGTGGGGTTCGTGCAACGGTTGCATAATAATATAATGTAACAATCTTCAAAAACTATATTAGAGCCATTTGTTTGATCCAAAATTTGAAATATACATTATTTTTATTTTAATGAAAAATCACAATTTTTTTTTTTTTAATAAAGTATAGAAATTATTATTTTTAGCCCAATTAACATAGGCCGTTCATTTTGATAAAATGATTAGATCTAGCATTAGAATGATTTTTTTTTCTTTTCCAATTATATAAATAGTTTTATTATCATTAAATAAATAATGTTAAAAAAAAAAAAAATTTTAAATTTGAAAGACTAAATGTATGGTCTAAAGTTGTTGTTGGAAGGAGTTCATTTTGATTATATCTAAGATTAAAATCCAACTATTTGTTTTCTAAATTGATTATCGAGATAAAAAGGGTGTGTGGGTAAAATTTTTGGGTCGTATAAATACCAAAAACATTATTGTGTTTTAGAAGTTTTGGATATTGTGTTGGGAAACGGACCTTTAGCTTTTACCCAAATTACCGAAACAACCCAAAATTTGTATATTGACGATTATACCCCATTTTTTTCTCTCCCAGCGCGAATTCACTCTACAAAGGGGGTTCTCTCCACATTCTCCATCTTTCCTCCCACTTTCCCTCTCTGAGCATCTGTCTGCAGTTTACATCTCTTTCTCTCTCTTGTCCCCCCTCTCTCCATGTGTATTTCTTCAGTTTCTCTCTCTCTAACTCATTAACCACCTCTGTTTCGTTGCGGGTTAAAATAGTAATTCTGGGACTCTCACCATTATATCCCTGAACTTGGAATTTAGGGTTTTATAGACTTCAGTGTTCTATAATCGTGCATGGAGTTGGAAAGCTGAAAGATGAAACCACTGAATCCCCCTACTGCTCATGATCGATTCGTAATAAGTTCAGGGTTGGGGCTTTTCTCGATGTGAGGCTTGCCTTTTAGGGCTGATCTCATGCCCTAAGGTAATCTATGATTTTCATTTTCTTATTAAATTTTTATTGGTCATTGACTTGCCTGTCACAAAGAGTTTTAGTCTCAGAATCATTAGGATTTTGGTGTTCAATTTCACAAATTAGGATTTTGGTGTTCAATTTCCAAATTAGCATGGAGTTCATGGTTCAGCAAAAGTCTTATTCGTCAGCTCTTTATTGCTGCTGAGATTTTTAGACACTAAACTTTAGAGCTCCACTGTTGTTTTGTAATGCTTTATGGCATACGATTTTTTTGTCGATTTTCAGTAATTTGTCTTCATTGTTGGTGTTGTTGCTGCGTAAGATTTTCTTCAGTTATACGAGCTCAGAAGATCATATATTTCAGGTTTTGTTTGGTATTATTACTCAACCATGGTTTGGTGCAATAAATGCGGGAAAGATCAGCCTACAGTTGATGATAACGGTTACATGTGAGTTTTCTCGTGTTTGATATTCTTTTTCCCCCTCAAATTTCATGTTTGATATGTTTTTTGTATATTTCCTCCTTTGCGTGATCACTCTATGTGTATTTTTTTGTTGACTGCATTGTTTTATTGATGCATTTTTGTTTTTAATATGTGAAAAGAGTCTATATAGAGCGTCACCCTTATACTCTAAAGGTAATGCGCAGCCCAAAACCCACTAGAAAATATTTGTTTGGGTGCTAAAAACCTTCCAATTGATCATCTTGATCTCGAGATGCATGGATATCAAAAAGGAAGAATTCCGTGTCTTAAAAATAGTGCAAAAATAGTGCATCTTGTAAGGCGATCTCTAAACTGTCCATTTTCAAGATTTTCAAGCGTGTATAGATTTGCTCGCCATTTTTGGAACTTTAAATTTCATAATTAGGGATAGAAATAGATTTTCGGGCCATCATAGGGGTTTCCATTACCTGAAGTACTTATTATGGCAGGTGAGCCTTACTTTTTTTGTTTGAGGTTGACGCCTTATATAAACTACATTGTATTCTTTTTCATTTGTATGGGATTGCTTAACATCAGCAGCCATAGTCAGTTGATTGCCTTTTTAAATATATATGTGGACGCCATGTGCTTACTGAATCTCTATTAATGTATGTTCTAGATGCTGTAATAAATGTGGAAGGGTTATTGACTCAAATTACTCCACAGAGGCAGAGTTTGTGAAAACAGCGGGGGGGCAGGTTTGTTACTGTTATTCTTCAGCATAGTCAATTAAAAAACAGTCTTGTTTAATATATAGTAATATATTTTTGAATAATGAATGAGCAAAAGGAATCGTATATCACTTATGATTGATTCATCATAATATTTGGGTCTAAAATTTTATATATTAGTAACAGCTATCATTTTTCTGGATTACTTGTACTGTTTTTGTGGGATATTTTGGAAGAGAGAGATCCTTTCTTTTTTTATCCTGAATTTATCAGGATGTATTTGCTGTGCACACATTTCTCAAAAAAAGATATATTTGCAGTGCACACAGTTCTACAAAAAATGTTATTATTGTTATTGGAAATACATATTCAGCATCGGTAACCCGATATGTTCTGGGTCTATTTATTACTTTTGCTTACTTTTGAGGTTGATTGTTTTCTGATAGTTATTTGATGGTGTTGTTTTTTTGCTTGTTTTGGTGATTGATTGTTTACTGACAGTTAATTTGATGTTTCTAGAGCCGACTAGCTGGTAGCTTCATAAATACTTATGAAAGGGCAGGTTCCCGTGAAATGACTTTAAGAAAAGGTAGGATGTGCTTTAAGATTTTCTCTATTTGGGTTGGTTGTCTAATTAGTTAAATAAATTAGACCCTATTTGATTTTTACTTTCATTCATCTCACTGTCCTCGTTTATAGATTATGTTGTTTTCCTGCTGGTTTCAAAATTATCCCTCCAAAATGTTGAAATTCCAATTCATTTCTAAACTAAAGTACTTCATTTTATTTGGAGTGGCCAAAGTAATTTTATTCCATGTGAATTACTACAACTCTAAATGGTAGCCACGAACGAAAACAGAGGATCTCTTTTGGGGTTTGTATAATGGGGTGTTACCCTTCTTTCTTTTGGTCAGGGCCTTGATTTTGCCTAGGAAAAGGGGGGATGCAGGTTCATGTTCTAAAGTGGGCATATAACACAGTTACTTTGTTTAGTGTTTAGATGTCTTGGGGACTAAGTTGAACTTTTGGTATTGATCACTGATAGGATCTCTGCTTTGATGACTAGATGCTCTGTTTCCTAAGATGATATTCTAGATTCCTAATCAGGCATCTTTGATGCCTACACAGTTCCCAAGGGTTAAGACGTTGTTGGTTGTTGGTTATTTGTGCAATGATGCCATTTATTTAGTTAGATGTCTCCTAAGAGACCAATGCCATTTATTCATGTGATAATCTTATGATTTTATGATGATGCTCGAGTTCTTATTCGCTTCCCCCACCATGGTAACTTGTGCTATGTTGCTTCCATGCAAGGTGTTTGAATATCTACTAAATGCCACTGGTTTCCATGGATCATGTGTTTCTGTTCTTAATGATTTAGTTATGGTCGTATTGCGCACATTCTTACGAGTTATGAGTAGCATTTGGCCTGCCCTTTTATGTTGCACTTACTGTATGTATCTTTTGACTTCATATGTTGATGACATTGTCCTCCAATCTTGTAGGAAGATACGAGATAGAAGAAATCATCACTGCTTTATCTATAGATGGTGGAGAGAATACAATAAATCAAGGGCATCGTCTCTATACGGTGTGCTCAAAAGTCATGCATTGTTTGAAGTGTTTATTGCTTTCTATGACAACTAATATGACCTGAATCTTTCTTGTTGTAAAGCTAGCTGTTGATAAGAATTTCACGCGAGGTCGCAGAACAAAGCACGTTGCAGCTGCCTGTCTTTACATTGTTTGCCGGTGGGTGAGCATTGCCTCCCTTTTATGTTTGTAGAAATGTCGAAATTACTCGTATTTTTGGTCGAATATAGATTTTCGAACACTTTTATAAAGATAAAAATTCCTAATCCAAAAGGGCCTCCTAAGAAGTTCATTTGATATACTATTTTGAACTCGAAGGGCATTTTGTCTTTGTAAGGTGGTATGAATTACTTTGGATGAAATGATCTGGGTAGTTCTGATCCTTTCTCAAGGGTCTGTTCTTGTGACTCATATTTGGTATTTGTTTACGAGGTTCACTTGTCACTTAAAAGTTAGCTTGTCGCTTTGTACTGTTTAGATCATAGTGAGTCTTATATAGATCTTTAACTAGTGCATATCTTTATCGAGAAAGTTGATGACTTCATTGCTATTGTCGGCATGTTTGCTACAGTTTAGGGTCATTTAGTCAATACAAGTATTAGATAGAGATATCGCAATGTGCTTTTATGGTTGAAGGTGACGATGTTTATATATGGAATGTCAATTCAAATTTGTAATGTATTTTAACACTGAGGTTTAAAATGCCCCCCTTTATTGAGGGTTCATATGAAAGAGAAAAATGGAAATCAGAAAGAACGAGAAACAAAAACTAAACTTCCAATGCGCAGAGTTAAAATTTTGGTATTTTATATGGCCATGATTGGGTGGCCAAGTTTTGGAGGAAATTTTGGTATTTTTGTTAGGAAATTTGCACTCACGGAATCGAGTAAGGAATTTGGGTTCATATAGTTTGTAACCTCTTTTATTTCTTTACACATCATTGATATAGATTGCTGTATCTCGGTTGTTTGTAGTTCACCATCACGCATACTGATACCAATGAGGTGGCAGGTAGTTTTCATTATTTCGGTGTTCATTTGTTACTATTTGGCAGCTGGGGATCATTTTCTTGACATGTATTTCACCTTAAATGTTTTTTTTTTAAATTGTATTTCACCTTAAATGTTGATTTTGTTTTTATGGATTTCTATTCTGATTTTCATTGTCGATTAAAAGAAAAAAGGAATCTAGATGGCGGCAGTGATTTTTATATATGCACTGATGTCCGCAATTATCACAACAAACGAAATTATATAATCAGGGAATAAAAAATCATTTCGAGTTAGAAAAATCACTCGTGTCAACTCAACTAGCCAGTGTATTGGAGTTTTATACGGAAAAGCTCAGGATGTATCCAAGTACTTTATTATATAAAAGTTTCGATGTTTGATTTGGCAAAGGAACGATGTTCTCAATGTGGTGGCACTGTGGCATGCCTTATGTGATGAGATGGATTCAAATCCCCAAAATGGACATTTTACCATGATAGAGATCTTTATACAACAATTTGCTGATACTGCATCTATTCATACCCACATTTAATGATCATATTTTCTAACTACTGCATAGATGAGTATGTTGATGTCTAAATGAATGCTCTAATTATCTAGAGTGTGGGTATGATTTAATTTTCTCTATGATAACAATCTTGCGCTGATATATTGTTGATCTTGCCGTGCCCAAGATTGTGATTTTGAAGAATATTATATAAGGAAGCCTCTTATTTTCTCCAATTTGATGTTACATTTCCTTGACCAACTGTCCACCTCTTCTTCTTTTCTTTCTGTCCGCCTCTTCTTCTTTTCTTGTATTTTCTTTGCAACCTTCATTATAGTTTACTCCAGACATGCAGGCCCCGACTGGCATCTATGTTTTAGGTCAGTCATGGTAAATACATGAGGTGATTCATGCATTTGATGGAATGTTAAGACCATTTCTTTAGTATTAGACTTGTTAGATTTTTCTTCTTTGTGAGAATCTATGATCTTATAGTAAGTTCTTATTTGTATTGCAGGCATGAAAAGAAGCCATTTCTTCTCATTGACTTTTCTGACTTCTTGCAGATAAATGTGTATGCTTCCTTTTTTTCCGACTGAGCTTTATAGAATTGAAATCCAGTTTCTGAGTGTCCTGCTTGTTTTTAATTTCCTTTAATACAGTTTTTGCTATAACAAGTATTTTCATGCATGGAGTTCTGAAGTCTGTTCCAGTTATGTGCTAGGTGCGGTATTTTTGCAGCTTGCTAAGCTGCTGAGTCTTCAAGAACATCCTATTGTCCAAAAGCCTGTTGATCCAAGCTTCTTCATTCAACGTTTCACAGCACGTATGTGTCTATTTATTCTTGTTATTTGTTGCATATTAACTCTGTTATTAAGTTTATGTTGGTCTGTATCATTTTAATGGATTTTTAAACTGGTGAGATCTTTCTACTGTGACTTGTTTATACTTGGAAGTACGTTTCCAGTCTTTTAACAGTTTTTAAGATTTTTCTTTTATTGTTTTGGTGTAGCAATAAAGCATTTTGACTATAAATTAAATTCTTAACATTATATATATGTACACACACACACACACACACACACACTCACGCACATATAGGGGGTAATTTCATGCAATGAAGGTAACCATTTCTCAAAAAGAAAAATTTCATGCAATGTTATTGTATAATGAAACAATATTCATAAACCATGTTAGGGCTATTTTTTCTACCCTAATTTTTAAAACACTCTTTTTCATTTCAGTGAATGACTACAAAAAAGTAAAATTTAAAAACAAACCCTTGAAAATGTTTTTTTAGCCCAATTAATATAGGCCATTCATTTTAGTGAGATGCTTAGATCTAGACTTTGGTAAGGATTTTTTTTATTTCCAAATTTTTTAGATGGCTTTATTGTCATTATATTGACACAAATCCCAATAATGGTGATTTGAGCTCTAAGTTGTCCACTAACCTTTGGGTTGTTGAATTGGTGAGGTAGGTAGGATTTGATTGAGAGAGCACTGGTTTCTTCAAAGTTCACTTCAAATGTCAGTATAAATGATGAACTTCGACAGATGAAGATGTCTTCAAAGTTCACTTCCAACTGCGTTGTAACCTGGCTGAGATCTTCGACTCCTCGTCACTGAACTGCGATTCTGAGAAACAAGGGGCACACATCTCTTCCATCATCTTCTTCCATTCCTCTCCTGTAATTTTTGAGACGTCCAAATGTTTTTATTTTTAGAGAGTAACGCTGCCATCCTTTCATTCAAGAAAATGAAGAACACTGAGAAAGTGGCCGCATGGGTTTCATGGCAACCTTCTCTTTCTTCTTCGCACCCTTTTTTATCCTTCTTATCCTGCTTGAACTGAAAATATTGTTGAAGCAATTCAAGAGCAGCCTTATTGTTCTATTCTTCCTGGTAAATCTTCAACAGCTTCGTCCTCTTGTTTCTTTCTGCCCAACTACTTTACAGAGTTCCTTTTCGGCTTGGTGCTTTTCTTCATATGGTTTCTGTTCCTCTATGCTCATGTCCTTCCATTTCCCTCCCAAAATGTTGCTCATCTCCTTTAGCCATGCTTCAGTATTCTTGCTTTTAAGCTGGTTGCAGGGCTCTTTAAACCACAAGTTATATGTTGGACTTGGTTTTGAGAGAAAAAATGTGAGAGGGAATCAGGGAACTCAGGGAAGAACCTAGGTTGAGAGAGAGAGAGAGAGAGAGAGAGAGAGAGAGAGAGAGAAA